GTCTCTATTGATTTGCATTGCGAGAGGCTGCCTCCTTGTCATTTATGACACAAAAAACAAAACGATGTCTAAAAGCTGTTGTGAGACAAGGTGTACAGCAAACAAGCAAAATAACCCAGAAATTATTTTTTATACGCTGTCGACCCCAAAAACGGTTTGTTTTTCAGGACATAAAAGTGGATCAATTGAGAAAGAGCGCAACTATTTCTCGAACTACTCTGAGAGAACTACGCCCAGCCTCCCCATATAGCACTGGAACGCGACATGATATTGTAAAAAAAAAAAAAATCATGATTTTAACCATGTCGATTGCTTATTTCACCACCCTATGTGAACCTGAGAAGAGGAGATATAGTAAATGTACCCATTCTTCCTGCTGATGCTTCACGTCTTATTGCCTGAAGCCTATCTACTTTTGTCTCCTTAAAGGCTGGCTTTACCGGTTCGGAAGCTTATAAAACTGTATTTCTGATGTGTTTTTTTTAGCTTATTTGTTGAACACCTTGTTACACAGCAGCTTTTATGCATTTTTCTGTCTTTTGTTATATGTTATTATAAGGAGGCAGCCTCTCGCAATGCAAAGTCAATGGAGACGGTTGGATTGTTTCGCCCCGCTTTGGGCGTGGCTTAAATACGCTCTGTCTCTACACAGGCTCAGCTGTTTTTCCTATCATGGGTAGCCCGGATGTTACCATGTGAATATTTAACTTGAATTTTTCGATCTGAATTTGAGCAGTCGAATTTGAGATCTGAATTTGAGCAGTCGAATTTGATCAACCTGAATCTATTTTATCTGAAATTCTGTAAGTTGATTTTTTTTTAATCTGAATTTGTGAGCATTGAAAAATATTAAAATCGAAATTCAAGTTTTTAAACAAAACAAATAAACAAATAAATTCAGATACATGGTTTCCAAAGTAAAATAATTTCAATGGGGTGAATTCAGAGCAAATAAATTCAGATAAAGGTTTTTCAAAATAAAATATTTCAAAACTAAGTATTCAGTGGCTGTTAAATTTCAAATAGTTATGTCTCTTATTTGCTTCCATACACAACCTGGTAAGCTCTCCATGCACTTCGGGAAAGAAAGACACTGGGGCGGCGAGCTGAGAACCAGCGCGGGCCGCCCCGAGATACCAATCCTCCAACCGAGACTGAACGGGACACGGTGGAGGGTTCCACTCGAGCCCGGCATCCTCGGCGGCCCGTTTCAGCATAGCTGACATTTCTGGATCTGGCTCGGCCAATGTTAAACTCCCAGAGGGAGATAACACAGCCGAGTCGTCATCTCCAGAGGCCAGCTCGCCCTCCGATGCTGATATCGACATCTTATCCTCTGGGGGAACCCCAATTGAAATGGCTGATCGGTCCATTACAGAGGGACCAGCACGTTCAACAGTAATTCCATCGGCTGCGGTGTGATGGAGGAGTGAGGAGCCCACAGGGAATGGTTACCGGCCGAGACCTCCATCACTATCCTCCGTTCACCCATCCCACACGGTACCCGGGGGTGGGGCATGGCAATGGGGACTCATGCTTCGCGGACGAAGGCGAGTCTCGATCTCAACACCGCGACAGTCATATTCCCGCGATGGGAACATGAACTGCCCACAAAAGCTGCTTCAGCGTGCTGTAAGCCCAAACACGTGATGCAACAATTGTGACCGTCAGAGAGGAAAAGGGAACGACCGCATCCAGCAACGCACAGGTGGAATGACATCTTTTTCTTTTTTTTCTTTTTTAAAAAAAAAAAGACGCAAACGCACCTGTGATGCTCTTTCAGGAAATAGGACCCATCACCAGTGCCGGAGCACACAGGGGAATGACCGGATCACAGACAAACTTAAGTCTGTGATCCAAAGTATTTAAGTTTGTTTAACCTTCACCAGTGCGTGGGCGCTCTGAAGCGTTTTTTTTTTTAAATAGTTCAAAGTTACTATCATATTTAATGTTATTAACTTGACAAACTATACATCATTAAAACGATATAAGACTCAAGTTTCAGTATTTGACCACTATTGTATTCTGAGAAACTTATAGTGACAGTTATGTCTTAATTTGTGTCAGGAGTTATGAAATTAAAAAATGAGTCGTTACCTTTAATATGAATTATGAGCGTCAGCTGCTCTCATTCAGAAAAAAACTCCCGTGCGATCGTCATGACAGCGATTCACAAAACAACGTCCCTCAGGGCTTTTAGCTCAAACATGTGCAGATTTGGAGAAATATTGATAGATTATCATAGGTTTACATCAGATTTCTATAGACAGGAAAAATATTTATTGAATTTATACCCAAATGCGTCGATGTAATCATTTTGAGCGCTGTATACTCTGATTTACTGTGTTATCCATTCATACTGAAGTCTGAGGGCGCTGTTTGCACAGTAAAGTCCATATATGGATCACATGAAGAAGAGCCATAATCATGTGACATTCAGGAAGTCCTGATACATAAACAAAGCTATCCGAGATCGCTGTAAAGTGCAGATAAAGATGTTTTGAAGACAATAAACATGATTGCAATGATATTTGATTTACCTGTGTTCTTCGAGTCATGTCAGGTATTTTCATAATAATAGATTATATGTATAATGTAATGCTAATCGAGATAGACTTTCAAATTGTGCAGAATACAATAAAATAATATATTTTCTATCTGATTTTTTTATCTGAAGCCAAATCAGATTACAGAAAGTTATTTAAAACACTCGACTTGCGCTATAAAGTAAGTTTAGAGCACAAACATAGTTTTATTCTCATAAATTGTCGTGTATTGATGGTGTGCTAAGCTAACATGCTAGCTAGTACTGAGCACCTGCTACCTAACTTCGGTGTAATTTTTATGATTTTTTTTTCTAAATAAGAATGCTTACTGAAATGTTTCGTTTTTCAAAAAGGGCATTTGATACAGTTTCACTGTGAAGTGAGAACTTTTATAAAAGAAATGAGGGATTGAAACATTGTGAATTGCTAGTCGTTAGTGATTATAATGCAGACAAAAGAAAAGCATATTTAGAGCAATAATCAGGGTGGAGAGGTGTGAATATGTGCAGGGGAGACTGAGACTGAATGGGGCTCGTTTTTGCATCACAAAACAATAGAGGCAATAGACTGAATAGATGCTTATAAGATGACAATAAACCCCAGTCTAATCAAAATAAAGTCATATGACATGATCTTGAAAAACATTGAACTAAATACAGAGTTTTAGACTTATCATCTTCAGATTTTAAATATAACATGGCCAGACATGTGGCTTTAGCTGCAGTGCATTTCTAGATTGCTACAATGCCAACTTCAATTTTATTTTCATGAATATGTTTCATAAAAATAAATGTATAATAACTTTACAAAACTTTGAAGCTATTTATAACTATTTTTTTCATTATGACAATAATTAATTCTACCTTTACAATAAACTTCCAGGTGTCAGCTTTCAAATGAGATCTTACTTGTGCTTTTAGTACAAAGGGTTCATGAACTGTATCTGTTTCAGTTTGGGAATGCCATATCTGGGGATTTTTCAAAAATGGGGTTGCAGGTTAACAGGTTAAAGTTTAAGTTGGAAATTTCATTTTCAGGTTCATGCTCAAAAAGTGAAAAAATAGATTATAACTACTGCATAGTTATAATTTAGTACAATAAAATATAGTACAATCATTTCATTAAAAAAAAAAAAATAAACTGACATTTTTGACAACACGATCAGTACCAGAGGGTTAACCCCGCCCATCTTGTTACCTGATTATTGGTTCAGTTGTCCCACCTGCTCTCCCTCATTTCCTGCCTTGTTTGCTCCCTATTTATTCTCCTTGTGTTTGAAGTCCTGTGCCAGTTTGACATCTTGTGTACTGTTTGTGTCCTGCCCTGCCTGATCCTGTAACCATGTCCCGGACTTGTTTTCCGCTTCGGAGTAGTTTTGTTTTGTTTTGTTTTGTTTTGTTTTTGTTTCATTTTTTATCAATAAAGCCCATATCTCTGCATCTCTGAGTGATCTCCTCATCCCTTTACCCTAAACCCTGACAATATAATAGTATTCCATATATGATAATATATATTTTCAAATCCAAAATATTTTCAATTTTTTTTTTTTTTTTTTTTATTCTGTTTGCAAAATAAAAAGAACTTGAGCAACTCTTTTTTTTTTCAAGCTGCTCAGATTTAGATGAACTCTCATGAACTTTAATGGTTTTGAATATTATTTAAAAGTTACTTTTTAATTGTATGGATAAACAGCTTTGGCATTTTGATAACTTTATTTGTGCTATACAAGAAAATATTCATATTATTTTAGAGCAACATGAGGTTGATGACATGGTTAATGGTAAATGATGACAGAATTGTCAGTTTCTACTGAACTCTTGTCTCGTCAAATCAGAAAGTGAAATAAAAAACAACATGGCCTGTTTTGTCAACCGTTTATTCAAATCATATTTGTAATGTTTGGAATTAGAAGATACAAATGATACATCAGATCTGTCGCAACAGTTTACAGCAACTTTTACTGTACACAGATCGTCCTGTAATATTCTGCTTCTAGCAACGCTACACATAGTTTACTGTTCATAAATCAATTGTTTTCCCCACATGCACATCCATACACAAAATATAACACTTTATAGACATGTAAAAATAATATGCAAAATTGTATATATGACACAACTGCCATCAAGGTTATACAATTCAACCTCAGAAATGATTCCATAAACAATATATTTATCACTAAGTCATCCATAAACAATTTGTATCATGCATATTCCATTTATTTATTTTTTCTTTAAATAATGCTTGTGTTTATGCTTTTTTCTGATTGTGGCAAAATAAAAATGTACTTTAGAAACCAATGAATACATTTACTGAAAGTTGATGACACTGGTATGTCAAGTCCTCAGTGGAGAGTTCCAGTAAACAGTAGAGACATAAAGAACACAATGTAAAAAATGAGGAAAATAAGAGTTTGACGTGTCATTTCTCACACAGACGTGGTTAAAATATTTAACCGGTTACACAGCATATAAGCTCATTCATTGTGGAAAAATACCTGAAGAAATCTGAGATTTAACGATGACAAAGGATTGATTTCTCAAAAATTCAATGGGCGGATCATCATGGTGGTGGCACGTAAAGAGTAGTTGGGGCCTTTAAAGTAGTGCCACTTGATGCCATCAACTTTGCCAGAATTTTGCCCAGAGGTGTAGTACATACCGTTGAGGTTTGATGGGCCACAGGCATCAAACCACCAGCCTTCAGAAGAACAGAGAAATTAGAGACATGTCATGTTGGGATGGATGGATGGATGGATGGATGGATGGATGGATGGATGGACAGAATGATACGGAACTCTGTAACCCTTAAAGCTCTATCTCTCTACTGGTCTACAATAATTCACATTATGTCTTACAGGTTAAATCTGCTTGGCAGGGTCTGTTGCTACTTTTAGGGTTTAGAACACTTCAAAGAACTTTGACAGAGCCTTATGTTTCCACCTGCAAGAAAAAGTCTATATTCTAATTTAGAACATATCTTTTTTAGCATGATCATAAATTTAAGTCTATAGAAGAAATAATATCCTACATCTTAATCTAAAACACGTTTGAATATTTTACAGTGGATATAAACACTTTGCACATACCTGTTAAAACAGCTGTTTCTTTGTGTGTGTGTGTGTGTGTGTGTGTGTGTGTGCGCGTGTGCATGCATGCATACGTGTGTGGTGTAAAAACTAAATAAAGATAAATCATATCAGAACTTTTGCACTTTTAATGTAAAAATTTCAACCTATATGCAATGCCACTGAAAATCTGTGACACATTTCAGAGAACAATACAAATAAAAACTTACAGGGTTTGCACACTTTTTGCACTTTTATAATTGGGTATGCTGTGTTCAGAATTAACTAATCATCAAGCTCATGTGAAATAGTGCATATCTGTCTTCACCTGAAGTGTCTCACATTAACTCCAAATAAATCTCAGCTGTTCTTGTAAGATTGTCAGGCGACCTCTCAGTTAAATGCTACTAAAAGAGCTATTGGCCACAAAGAGCGTGCAAAGCATCAATGGGATCTCATTGTTGAAACAGGGTTGCTCAGGTGAGGGTTACAAAAACAAATCAAAGCATTAGAAATACCACGAGACACAATAAACAAAGAAAACTGGGTAGGGAGGCTGTCAAGAGGATTACAGCAACATAATAAGAGTTGCATCTTTTTCTGGCAAGTACTGTTTGCTCCCTACATGATCTCTACCCCACTGCTATCGCGCTGCTTACCGCCTGTGAGCATGAGTGCACACTTGCAGATGCAGTTGTCGTTATCCATGTCTTTTGTGCTAAAGTCTGCCCCATTTATCACCAAACTGCTATGCCTGCCAGCTGTACCACTGTAGCTCTTCAGGAATAACCTAAAAGAGAAAGACAGATAGTGAATAAGAGAGTATAAATGTAATGGTGGCTGTTTTAGTAAAAACAGGACAATGGATCCAAATACAGCTGAGGGTTTATTTAAACAAGACAATAAAGTAAATCCAGGCCAGAACAAAATAATCTAAACAACAGGAACTAAAACAAATGCACGGGCAGAAACACACACACACACACACACACAGTACATCCACATTGAACAACACCAGACAAAGGACAAGAGAAACACTGGAGATTGTGACAATAATAGAAAGTATTGCTGCATCCTGTTTCTTTATTTATTGATTTAGGTTTTTATTTGTTTGTTTGTTTATTGTTACACTTTACAATAGGGTTCGATTCATTAACATTAGTTCATTCACCAGGTATCATGAGCAAACCATGAACAATGCTTGGTTAATGTTTGGCTAATGTTCATTTATAATTGTAATATATTTTTACTGAAATATTATACTGTATAAATTAAAATAGTTAATTTATTAAAAACTAGCATGGATTACAAAGAAAAATGGTATATTTATAAATTAACATGAACCTAGATCAGGGGTAGGCAAGTTCGGTCCTAGAGAGCCGCTGTCCTGCAGAATTTAGTTCCAACCCTAATCAAACACACCTGAACAAGCTAATCAATGTCTTCAGGATTACTAAAGCTATAGGCAGGAGAGTTTTTTTTCAGTGTTGGAGCCAAACTCTTCAGGATAGCAGCTCTCTAGGACCGAACTTGCCTACCCCTGCCCTAGATGAATAAATGCTGTAAGTATCAGTTATTTGTTAGTTCGGGTACCTAATGCACAGCAAACAGCACCATTTCCTGTCTCGGTATGAGACAATTACTTATAACTTGAGCATGTCAAGTTAAAAACATGTCCAGTTTATGGGTTAAACTAAAATAGTTCAGTGGAGTACAGCCAATAGAATAGATACTGACTCATCTTCAAAAAGGTGGTGCTCATGTCATGAGCTGCTACAAAACAACAATACACAGAGATGTCTGACTGATGCAGACAAATTGTGAAAATGTGTCTTTTTGTAAACGGTCCACAACTTTTAAAAATGCATCTCGAGACACATTCCTCTGCGTTGTGTCTAGCTTTGACAGTGTATTGTGTAAACAGCACCATAAAGAGACAAATGAAATGTTCATAATCTCTCAAAACTGATGATAAATAAACAACACTAAAGCCAAACTGAATGTATGAATGTTTGTTCTCTGAGATAAGGATGTGAGTGTGTTTGATCAAGCAGCACAAAGCTATGCACTCGGTGTAGGGTTTTAATACTATTTGAAAAAGAAGGACCATGAAAGCTCTCTAGCATGCTTAAAGTTTGTCATGACTGAGTTTTAATACATTTCTCTACCTGTAGTTTTGCTTCTCACTACCAAGGTCAAACTTGTCGTACTGGGAGAAGGCCAGTTTGCCATCCCAGTCTGTCAACTCCAGTCTAAGAGTGTACTGCCTCTGATTGGTCAACAGGTACACCAACTCATTTCCCAACCAATGTTCTCCAGTCAGACTCCCAAAGCCCTGAAATACACAAACACACACATTTGTTTTATGATAGGAACATTCGATTGACTTCTACTGTTTAAACACAATTTTATGACAATTTGTGTATATTTAGACAAATATTTTACAATTCAGCAAATTGATGGAGAATTTTGTATGAATTTGTACAATCACACTAACAGCACTATTGCAGGTATGTTATGCTATGATCTGCTTACACCTATTAGGTTTAGGGGCCAACCTTCATGGTGATGCTTTACCTACAAATAATGCTTTTTCACACAAGTTACATTATATGAAATCGCCAAGTCAAACAATATTTTTTAACTGTCATGAGATGTTTTAGATGTTTTTACATTGAGCTAATATTCTCTATTCCCTAAATATTTCTGCATTTTTACATTTTCATTATTATTTGTTATTATTTATTGATGTTATTTGTTACATTGTTACATTCAAACATGGGGATTCAAGACTGTAATTTGTCTATAATTCATATTTAACTATAATTCATATAATGTATATAATTAATTTGTGTCAAATGTGTCAAAGTAAAAGCTTTGCTTGAAAATTCAAGCTAAACACAAGGACAATCCCAATTGTATCAGGCCAAGGTTCACAATAGGTATCCTTTTATAACAGGCAATGGTCAAAAACAAGTTACAAAACCCAAGAAACCAAGTTTGGTACAAACCAATGTGCTTTATACTAATGAGAGTGTAGGTACAGTCAATAATGGGGATGGTTATTGGCCAATTGGTGGGTTGGCATCACAATACGTATTAAATAATATTATAAGAAATTGTGTGAGTTGGGTTGTGCAAAAACAACTGACTGAAACTTAAACCTAGTCCAACCCCTTACTCAAATTCATAATTAGAATATTTACAAAGTCTCCATTGCTTTTTTCATACCAATTCTTAATTCGTGGACACAAAATCTTGTTTTGTTTCGTTTTTTCTTCCCGAATGTTATGTGCGGTGCTCTGTAGTTTTTATTCAGTTCTGTCATGACAACTCTCCGGAGATTGCTACGGTAATAGAGATTGGCATGGTAATGCATATGGCAATGTTAAAGTATTTGGTCTTGGCGGAATAGATCTGTTACGCTGCTGATGCTGCTGCAGAGCAAGTACTGAGACTTGCTACTGCCAATACATTCACAGACATTGCTGTGAGCATGTAAGACATGCTGCTGCTGCTGCACATGTAACATACATGAATTAACCCCCGTAGCATCTATAGGTGGAGCTGGGTTTCTGAAAGCGCGCTGCATACTGCTACCAGCAACACCCTGGTATTTGTTTGAATGTTGAGCCGCAGCTTATTGGATGCTGATGCAAAAGCAACCAATCAGTTGTGCCATGTAGATAATTATGTGATAGCTACCAAATGAGATAAAGACTTATCAGCCTGCGCCATCTAGAGTTTCATGCCAGAACTAGGTATTTTCATAATTCTTAGAATATTTAGTTGGTGTTTGACAAATATATATTATAGACTTAATAGGATTTGTTTTGTGACAGCTGCTGCATTGTATCGTGGAGATATTACCCATAACAGGATCAGAATAGTGAAAATTGGCTTGCTCAAACTACAGGCGAATCATGTCCTCTCGATGAGTCAAATCAAGATGGCAACTCTGCTGCTGCCTCTTTGCGTGTCCAGACCAGTCACTTCAGGGAGTTATGCCAGGTCTCGATCAGCACTGCTAATAAGTACAAACCAAACTTGTGATTTGTCCTTTCAATACCCTTTGCACATGCTGAACTGCACTGCTGGCTTGCTATGTTCCTTAATATTTTTAATAAGGCCTCGTTCGTAATTTCATTCAGAGTAATAAGGAACTCCCGCACACTATCAGAACTTGCATGTAACAAAATTTATTAGCAACGTTTCGATCATGCCTGATGAAGGTCGTGAGACCGAAACGTTGCTAAAAAAAATTGTTACATGCAAGTTCTGATAGTGTGCTGGAGTTCCTCGTTTGCAGATTGTCGACCTATTATCTGCAGGTGTGCGATGTTTTTTTGTTAATTGATTCAGAGTAATAAACCTAGAATCCAAGAACATTTATTGCCATTTCAGATGTGTCTTGATAAATTATTTGTTTCACTCCGTAGGACTGCATTTTACCATCTTATACTCTTCCCAGGTTCTGTGGAAGTCCAGCGTTCCATCTTTCCTCGATTGTATGATGGTCCAGCCCCCACCAGCACTATCCATGTTGCAATAAACCTAGTAGGAGGAGATATAACAGGATAAGACAGCGGCTTCTGGCATTTATACTCCTCAAATTCAGATATTTTATTTCCATAATTTTGAAAAGTGCATAAAAACCTGAGAGTAAGCATAATTTTTTTTTTTTTTTTTTTTTAAGGAAGATTGTGTTTTGAGTGGAAAATCTAGCCTGGTTAAAACCAGATCATTCTCAGTTGTAACTGAGTTATGGTCTGGCAAAGCGTCATAGACAAATCATTTCCAAAAACCAATCAGAGCGATGAAGGAGATGACGTATGCAGAGCGGCGGAGAAACATCTCCGACGAGTGTTGTTCTTTGCTCGATTTTTAACAAAAAGGAAACGTTTAAATCGCTTAAAACAGACGCGATAGCTGATTTGAACGAGTGATGTTTGACGGCGGCATCCATCTTTGTAATGTAGGCTAAAATCTGCTTCAAACTCCCAGCGCTGTCGTCATCGTGTAAAGCCCGCCCCAACGATTCTGATTGGTGCCTCGATTTCGACGGATTGGAAAAGGGCTTGAATGAGCTCTTTGCCAGACTAACTTTCAGAGCAAATCTAAATTTGCCGGAAGTTGTCTGGGTTTTCCCAGGCTATGGAAAATCGTTTGTGCACTTACAATGTAAAAAAAATTTTTTTAAATTGAATGTGGTCAAAAAATGCATTGAAATTACAGATTTTCACAATTTTGAATTAACTTAAATGTTACAAATTTTAGCCAGTTTAATTTGTTTATAGTATATCACTCTTTCACTAATATGGGCACTGACCAGGTCAAATTTAAAAACGGGCATGCCAATAACAGCATTTGAGCTCAGAAATAAGTTACGATGCCAGTGCAGGTAGTGTAAGTTCTAGAGTGCAGCATTCACCCAGCTGTTACTGTGAGAGTTCAGCCAAGAGTATTTCCAGCTCTTGCTCTTCCAGAGCCAGTCAATACCTATTCCAGTGTAAAGTACTCTGGTACATAGATATAGGCTGATTACTCCAGAAAAACAAACAAACACAACATTTCTGGTTTATGTGTACGACCATGACTTCATTCAGTGTGTCACCCATGGTTTATTTGGAGTGTACTGTATGCAACACTTTGGAAGTATTGCAAAACTTAACAGCCATTAATGTGTCTATAGCCTATTAATTAAAGTTTTTAGGCCTATTAATTAAAACGGTAACACTTTACGTTACAGGTAGTTACTATATAGTATATATAGTATTATATACTATATATATAACTATAAATTATGCATAATTGCATGCAACTAACCCTAAACCAAACCTGAATCCTAACCCTATAGTAAGTACATGTAGTTAATTAATATTACTCAGTACGTAAACGTATAATTACTGTATCAAGGACACCTTAAAATAAAGTGTAACCATTAAACTCATAACGTGTCATATATTGAAAAAAAAGAAATGCATAGAAAACTAAAAACGTTAAAGTTAAATGTTATGCCAACTCATCCTATTGCCGTTGTTACTATGTCATACTGCTCAAACAAATAGTGACTATTTTAGGAGTTGCCATTTTGATTTTTAGGGGGGAAAGCATGCCATGAAGGTCAAACCCTAACATCTAAATCTAACTGTCTGGGATGTAAGCAGGTCATACGAAAATATATGAATGAGATTCATACGAATTCGCCAATTCGTCAACTCTCATTGCCATAAGAGTGTGTTGGTAATGTTGAAAGTACCACAAAAAAAGTGTTCAGATTCTGAAGGAAATGATACCAACAAATGGCTTATTTATAGTTGTCTCTGCACATTAAGGTAGGAGAACTATTTTAAAACTAAAAGAAATACTCAGTTTACCTTAGAAGGAAAAAAAGTTCTGTATAGGTACACATCCACCATAACACATGACAAATGCAACACTATTGGCCTCACTACTGTAGCTCTGTTATCAGATCCCATTTAGACTGACCTTATGCATGTCTTGCATGCCAATGTAGATGGTGTAAATTCCACTCCTGTTAAATCCAGCCCTGAAGAGTTCGGCACAGTCTCTGTATTTTATCATATCATCCATTTGTTTAAAAACATTTGGACTCACTGCTTCAAACAGGCATGTATAAAAAAAAAGTAAAGAATGTGTTAATTTTGCAGAGAGAGAGAAAACAAACGGGTTTGTAAATAGGCAAGCTAACCAAACACAAATAACTGTCGTCATTGTCTTATGGATATTAAAATTAGATGTTTGCTCAATTCAGTGTGGCTACCAACTGAATCTTAAAAGCCTTAAGTAAATGAACAAATCTCTCTCTATATATGATTTGCTCTAACTGCTCAGTCTCCTATATCAGTACATGTAGGTTGAAGAGGGACGTGAGAAGTGTGCGACTCTGTGACTTTTCACAATATGTTTCAGATCCAAGTAAAACTTGGCAGCAAAAGAGGTTAGGTCTGCAAGAACCCTGATGTGGGTCAGTCAGATTTGAAGTCTACGTGATGTAAAGCAGACAGATTTAAATAATTAATTATGAGATGTGCCAAAACTGTCAGTGCAAAACAATACTGAGTGTTTGTGATCTAACGAATGTTCTTCTGAACATATAGACTATGGATTAGGGGTTAATTCACACTAGTGCTTATATCTGAGCAGGGTAGTGGTCTATATACAATTCCAATAGAAAGTAAATGAAATATGACGATGACACATAGTGAAATTTTTTAGGACTGATTCTTATAAGATATTAACATACGTACATGAGTATACATTCATTTGGTAGCATTTCGGTAAAATATTATTAAACGATAGCATGGAGTCCTGCACATGACATGCAGAAAATAAAAAATAGATACTGTGTGGCCATGAACTAAGAATTCATTCACACGATTTAATTTGTGGCCATGTTCTCCTAATTCGTTCTCGTTTTAGTTAAATCGTGGCCACGTTGTACTGATTTGTTCCCTAATTTTAGTTCCCTTGGCCACGTGACCATAATGTGGCTAAATTAAAACAAGGGAACAAATGAACAAGTTGTGGGAACAAATTCTTAAATCATGGCCATGCTATCTTGTTTATTTCCCCTGAATGTCATGTGCAGTACTCTGTTTTATAGATATAAAATTCCAATTTGTTTCTCCAATTTGTGTACCTTCGTTCTTGGAGCACAGTTTCAACAGATCATTGATGGTACTATGCATTTGTAGTTGCTCTCGGTGGAGGGCGCTGTTGTTTGTGACGACCTGTTCTAGATTGAGCTCCAAGCTCTGTATTGAAGAGCTCTGGGATGCCAGGAGTCTCTGAAGCTCTGTCCGCTCACCCTTTATCCAACCCAGTTCTGCATGGTGACGTGCCTCCATGTTAAGAATACGCTGCTCTAGAGTACTGAACACAAACATGAATAGGACAGAGTTGCATTTGACAGTTACCAGAAAACAAAAAAAAATTGACTAAGTAGAAAAGTGTCAAAAAAAGGTGTCAGTGAAAAATACCCTGTTTTGTCCCAAAGTTGGTTGATCTCACTGGTTTGCCAGAGGAGTTTGTTCTCAAGTTTGTTGGAGGACAAAGCGTTTTCCAGTGACTGAATCTCAAGTCTAGAAGTCTGATTGAAAACCTGTCGTATAATGACATACAGCATTTGATGTGTTTTAATGACAAATTAGAGACTTTTCAGTTTCATAAATCCCTGTGGCCATCAATGCACTGTAAAACAAAAATGCATAATGTTTCTTATTATGTAAACTCATGATTTCCCAAGAATACTTATTAGCCAATATTAACATGTTTTGATGAATGTTGTTGGATGTTTTGGATATGCATTCACACCTGTGTCTCCGTGTCTGTTAGTCTCCTGATGTGTTGGGTGGACTGGGAAAGTAGCTTGGTGCCAAGATCCAGCATGGTTGTCATTTCATTATGTAGAGCAATATTCTGCAGGTGTGTTGTGTCTTTTGTCAGACTGTCCTTTGCAAAGACCTCAATCTATATGCAAACACACATATGCAAAGAGAAAGAATGAATAGGAGCATACATTATTCATTGTGGTCTTTATATATGGTCACATACAATGTATCTAAATACTTGCAGCTGTACTTTTGGGGGCAACTGTATGATATTGAATCAGCCTAGTATTGAGCAGCTACACACTCTGAATAATACTGTATTTATTATACTTCACTGTCAAATTTCTCAGTTTAAAATGTGGGAACCATGATAGAAAAAACAATGAGGAATCCTAATCGTAATTCCTCAAACACCCAGAGTATCATTAGTAATGTCTTTTTGTGAAATACTTTTTAAATATGAGGCCCTCTACCACATTTTTGAGAGGGAATAGGGATACATATTCAATTGAACAATGAATATTTATCTATAAACTCCAGTTAAAATAACAAAACATCTGCGAGAGTCTATTTGGACAAAATAGACAGTCTATTTCCAATCCCATGTTGGTGATAAAATATAGATGTGTTTGTTAGCTCTGGCAACCTCGTTCCTGAAAACTAAGCTTTGTGCAGTTGTGCTTATGCAGATAGTTCCACAACATGATGAACTGTGTTCGGCTGGATCACTTATTTGAAGGCAGTATAGTCCACTTTTGACTGTCTTGGCATTTCAATTTATCCCAAAAGTTCTAAATGGGTAAATGACTTGAATACACATCTTCTGAAAAGCATGATTTTAATTTCTTTATAAAAACGAAACATATCAGGAAAAAGCTGGACATGATTTTACAGAGAGGAACCCTGAAGACCCACATGAATGAGTATCAATGTCAGCAAGTCTCTTACGATATAAAATAATTTGACCTTTTTATGACAAGGCAAGGCTAGTAAAATGTATGTGGTTCAACTAATGATAAAAACGGACGCTTTTAAAATGACTTTCAAAAACTTTTGAAATTAGTGTACCGGCACCTGTTATAACTTTGCCCTTGCTGGTAACTTCACAATACATTTTAGAGTTATTAAATTGGAAAATGGTATAAAGGCTTTTCAAATTCAAATGAAACCAACATGAATAGATCTTTTCACATGTTATCATGGCTAAGTTCAATAATTTTTGATCTGACACTTTAGCTGCGTCTCAATTCAGTGGCTACATGCTTCAAAGGCTGCATGACCCACAGTGCCTCGACGAAGGCTGTCTCAATTTGAAGGCTCCTTCGAATGTGATCAACAAATTTGTCTTTCTTTCCCTGGGCCCTAAAGGATAGAACTTGTGGATCATTCACAGCCTAGCCTATCCCAAGACTCATAGTGCAGCGATGACAACTGTTTTTATTTTAGTTTTCGAGAGAGAAAATGCTGGATTACACTTTTAAATGTAAGTATTGGGTTTCAACTTACTCAAATATCTAACTATAACCATAAAAATATCATAATATGTTTGCAGATATTTAGGAAACATGCTAAGTTCACATACTCGTTTCTCTGAAAAATACTTCTACAGCCAGTTATTTTTACTTACTATTTTACACGTTCCGTGTGTTGTGTTCACATAATTAACTAAAATCATTTATTTACACACTGCTAGGAAAATAACAAGGGGGCTACTATTATGAAGTAAACTAGCTGTGTTGGTTGTTATAGAATCCACTGCGCAATGTTTATGGGGTGCGCATGCGTGGGGTGTGAAAAAAAGGAAGTTCAGTAAAAAAACATGTCATACGGTTTCTTTGTGTCTCGGCTCTTTTGTAAACATAAGATTGTCGACGAGGATGGCTGAATTTGGTTTACCCCCGCCTGCACACTTTCTTGCCGTCCCCGGAGATCCTCCAGTTCCATGGGCAAACTGGCTGGAGAGTTTCACTGTCTACCTGGACGCTTTAGGCTTTGATGACATTACCGACAAGAGGAAAATGGCGATCCTCCGCCATTGTCTGGGAGTGGAGGGGCAACGCATTTTTCGCAATCTTAGGACGCCCAACGACTATGATGCTGCAGTTACCCTCTTGACGACCCATTTCACTGGCCACCAAAGGACTTTACTCTGTCGGTATAAACTTCGGAAGCGCTTGCAACGACCCAGTGAGTCTGTCTGAAGCTACGTGACAAACTTGAAAGACATGGCGTGCTTGTGTGATTATGGGGCTTTGCAAGATCAAATACTTCAGGACCAGTTCATTGAGGGGACATCGTGTGAGAAAACAAGAGAAAAGCTGTTACTAGAAGTGGACGATTTGACTTTAAGCAGAGCTGTGGAGATAGCGCTGGCGCTAGCAGGCGTGCGGCCACTCGCGGACAGAGCTACAGAGCAGTTACAGCCGGCCTATCACACCAGCATGCACTCCGCCAATGACAGTTGGGGTTCAGAGCAAGGTTTCCCAGTACAATTCACGCAGAGACAGAACAATAGGCGAACTGCAGAGGTATGTGGTAACTGTGGTTCTAAACCACACAATTCTAAGGCACAGCATTGTCCTGCCAAAGGACAACAATGTAGAAACTGTCTGAAGCAAAACCATTTTGCCAAGATGTGCCGTTCAGCCCCGGCCACGCTCCCACAACACACTGGACCTCCACCAGCTCAGCACAACTATGCAGAGATCAGAAATGTGACTGCTGGTCAGGTGGCGTTCAAAACATGTACCGTCCAGTTAGCCGACGTAACCCTACCCTTATTAATGGACACTGGTGCGGCTGCATCGCTCCTAAATTCAAGCACTTACTTTAAGTTTTTCTCTCACCTGCCATTAGATCATCCTGTCACCGCTCTATGTGGCTATGACAGCTCCAGGATTGACATCCTAGGTGTGCTCCACGTACCGGGCCACTATGGCTCCAAGCACCTACCATCTTTTCCCTTTCACATTGCGAGGAGGGGAGCCAACCTTCTAGGCATGGACCTGTTCACAGGCCTGGGGTTCACGCTCCGGGATGATGCTGGCCCCGACATTTACCACATCACCTCCACTTGGCAGCAAAGGTGGCCGGCTCTGTTCGATGGCCTAGGCTGTCTTTCAGCCTTCACACACAGGCCTCTGGTGAACCCGGACGTGTCACCTGTCATCCAGCCCCTCCGCAGGATCCCCTTTGCCTTGAGAGACGAGGTCACCCGCGAACTTGGGACACTCCTGGACATGGGAATTATTGAACCAGTCAACGCTGCTCCCTGGATTTCAAACCTAGTCATTGCAAAGAAAAATCTGGGGGAATAAGAATATGCGTGGAACTACGCTTGGTGAATAAGGCAGTTATTCCAGACAGATATCCTTTGCCCACCTCAGAGGAGCTCACCGCACACTTTCACGGCTCAACAGTCTTCACAAAGCTTGACTTACGTCAGGGCTACCTGCAGGTACCACTCCACCCAGCCAGCAGGGACCTCACTGCTTTCTTGACGCATGCTGGGGTGTTCCGGTACACTCGAATGGCCTTTGGATTAAGCTCCGCTCCTAGCTGCTTTCAGAAGGTGATGAGCACAATACTGGCAGGCATCCCTGGGGTAGCGGTCTTTCTGGATGACATTGTTATTCATGCCCAAGACATCGAGACACACAACAAGCACCTCCAGAGGGTGGCTCAAGCCCTTCTTCAGAACAACCTGACTCTGAACCCAGAAAAATGCTCCTTCGCTGCCCCAGCCATCGACTTTGTTGGGTTCCGCTTGTCAGCCAAAGGGATTTCCCCTCTACAGTCCAATGTCGATGCCATACACAGGATTCCAGAGCCGACCTCAGCCTCTCAAGTGGCCTCATTTTTAGGCATGACGGCCTACTACCTCTGTTTCCTGCCCCACTACTCACAGACCACTGCACCCCTCCGGCAGCTGCTTAAAAAAGAAGAGAAATGGCACTGGACTACAGCATGTTCTGAGACCGTACAACTCACAACCCAGCTCAGCCCACTTCAACCCTGAATGTCTGACTCTAGTCACCCTTGATGCTTCAGATCGGGCGATTGGTGCAGTCCTTTCACAGGTGCAGGAAGGGGTGGAGAGACCTGTAGCCTTCTCCTCCAGGGCATTAACACCAACAAAACAGCGCTACTCTGTGGGTGAACGTGAGGCGCTTGCCTGTGTTTGGGCTCCAGAGAGGTGACACCTTTACCTTTACGGACGGCGTTTCACCCTCAGGACTGACCATCAGGCCCTGACCGCATTGCTGACGGCATCTGGATCTGGTCATAACATAAACCCCTGCGCCTGCACAGATGGGGGGAAAGGCTGAGGCAATATGACTATGTACTGAAATTTACCCCTGGAAGGTACAATCTAGTCGCCGACTTACTCTCTCGTTCCATCGATGCCCCCACACCCATGGTCACCCCTGACGAGGACACAGAGACTGAATTAATTCACATGCTTCACACGCCCTTGCAGTCGGCCGTGTCATTGGAGGAGTTGCAGCATAAGTTAGAGCGTGACCCCACACTGTCCTCGCTACGCACGTACATTCGCTCTGGATGGCCAGCAAAGGTTTGTGACGAGCTCATGCCATTCAGAAGGGTGCGTGATGAACTTTCATGTTGGGGTGATGTTTGTGTCTCCAGGGGCTTGTGCACCGTGGTGCCCTGTAGCCTGCGGGCCCGCGTGCTATCCATGGCACACAAGGGGCGCCCAGGCATTGTTAACACTAGAACGGCCACAGCGGTCATTTTGACCGTTTTGAATTTTATGTCTGCAATAACTTTGTTGAAAAAATAAATAAAATCCTGCTGGTACATGACTTTCCCTAAAAGTGTCTGTATTTTCATTTAAAATGTTTTTAATATAAATTACACATAAGGCAAAAAAAACAAATTAACATATTTACCTATTTCGGCAATAGACGGTCATATTGACCGCACTGAATTTCGCGGTATTCTTTTGTTACATTTCTCGCGGTTGGCCTTTGTCTATTAGGAAATAATCAGAAGATTCAATTGCAAAATGACAGATGTTTATTGAGAGCTGGTCAGATGCTGGGAGAGTTAAGGTGTGCAAATGTCCGGTCTGAAGCCCTTGGCAGTATAGAGACGCTGCGTGAAGAACCAGGAGTG